GTAAGCACTGAGGCATACATGTATGTCTGTCCCTGCTGAGTTTTATTTATCTTTTTCATTTGGATAATGAAATTCAAGTCCTGCACAATGTCATCAAAACCAATCTAAACAACTGGCAAAGATTCCTTTCTAAAGCAAATGCCCAGCTGTGACAGTTCTTGTTGGAAACGTGCATGTGAATCACTGTTAATGTACAATGTAGAAGCTTAGATGTTGCCCACAAAACAATGCGGCGTGCCCTTCTGGTGAACTTGGAAAACTTCCAAAAAGAATTAAAATGCTTCTCTTGAGAAATACACCAAACGTATACTTTTTGGTGGGTCTTTTGCAAACCTGGAGGCGCCCAAGAGTGTTTTTCTTTATTCCGTCATGGTCTCTGGGGAAAATGAAAGGGATGTGTTGGAATGCAATAAAGTACCAAACATGAAGAAAATGAAAGTCCATTTTTTTTGCCAGTTTTCATGTTCCCACTTTTCAAAATGAAACACCCCAGCTGGTTTTAAGGGTTGGCCAAACAGCAAGAGGTCGGAATTTTTCTCTCTTTTTTTTTCAAGTTGTGTTTTTTGGGGTAGGCTGACATCTCATCTCAAATAACAAGCATTGTGCGAAACATTAATCATTCATCTATGTGGATATGGACAGTGCTGTTTCACCAGCACATTCATATGGAGGGGTCAGACAGGGGACATGTGAGGCAACTGACTTTCTTTGAAATATTAAGCTGCCAAAATTTGCATAAATTACTTTGTTTTCTGTGCATTGATGGCTGAGTTTCACGTACATTCTCTGGAGTTAGCAGGAATCATAAAAAATGCTGACAGGTTTTGTTGATTTGAATGTACTTCTAGTTTCATTTGTTTGAAATTGACATTATAATAAAATCACTAATTTTTTGGAATATACATGTAGGCCTAACATTTTACACTCTATAAGGAGAATTTCTTAAATATGATCATAAAAACCTCAAGTAATATAGACTCCGTCTTTCCATTATCAGTTAAGAAGAAAGGCTGCATCAGTGACAAAAATATTACCCATTGAGATCAATAGAAAATATCACGCATTTATTGTATTATACATTTCCATACATCAAACACCAAACTATTTGACTTATCATTTTAGGGAAAAGCACCAATATCTTTGCTTGCGTATTGCTACTGGTACATGTACTTATATAGGTGTTGACTATTTTTGTAAAAAGTCTTTTCATGTCATGTGCCAAGTACACCTTTACAGCTCTGGATGACCTTGCAGTCGTTCAGTATTGTTCTCCTCTGAATAGATATGACCTTGATAAAAAAAACTTTAAAATGTTCAAAAAATGGTGCACTTAATTTCTGAAACTCCCTTTTCATACAGTTTCCGCATTGATGACAAAGCGCAGTTCCAAAGAAATCGCACCAGATTGTTGGAATTTTATTACAGCAGTCATCATCCGTGACACACAGAAGGAGAATGCTGTGTACCTTTCCTAAAATGAAAGAGTCCATCTCAAACCCCCCCCCCCCCATTTTTCTTTTCCAAATCACCCTTCTGAACGAGCAGATCTCAGCATGGAGTTGTTATTTTTTTGTGGCCGGCCATCCTTGGCGCGGTGGACAGATATCCCGCATTTCTTTCACTTTCTCTTTCAACGGGCCGGGCTTTGGAGCACTCTTACACGTGCTGGCTGGAGTATATTCAGGCATGCATGTGTGACAAGTGAGCACGTGATTGGCTTGAAAGCTGCTCCAGCTAGCTACACGTGCAGTCAGGATTTTTGCCTAGGCAAAGTACAAGATGTATCCGGTTGGCACTGCACGTGGAATCACCTCTCCTTTTTTTTGAAGGAGTGGATGGGAGAAAAAGAAAACAGCAAACATTTACTGTTTACTTAGACACTTGTTTCTAGTTGAATGAGCATTTATTTATAAGGATTCCAAGGTAAGTCCCTTAGTTTTTTTCTACTCTTATGTGAATAGAACGCATGTACCTGTATGTATGTACATTTTTTTGTACGTAGGCCATTCCATAAATTTTTGGTCCAAAAGTGTGACGTGTTTTGTGTCCTGGTTACACCTGACCTGTATAATTTGCCATGCTACATGTAGTGTGACTCAAACTATTCTTTTATTTTTTTGGCAGGTACTTTACTTTACATATAATCACTCATTGGAGATAGAGGACATTAAGAATGTGTCCCGAATTTACAAAATCTTATATCAGATGTAACAGGGACATGAACAAAATTGGACCCCAAATTTATGGAATGATCCACATGTACATGTACAAAAGTGTATGTACCGGTATGATGTACATGTACATGTAAGTTGTGTACACTGTTGAGCAGGAATGTAGTCGAGTCCATCACAACTTAAAGATATATCGGTAGTCCATCATTTGTAATTTGTGCATTTTGTTCGTTTGAAGCAACAAAAGTGTTCAAAATCTAATGAAGGATACTGAACAACTAACCTGATGAAGTTTCAGCTAAGCTTCAGCTGTATATTCCGAGAAAAACAGCATTCTAGTATCTCAATTTCAAATCAAAAGTTACTGAATCATGTTTTGAATTGTTTTGAATTGCAGCTATACGCGACGTCGCGCACTGATCCGACGAATTATAGCAACCGCGCGCGCGTGTGCATTGTGCCAATGCTTGCACCCGCTTCGCCGAATAACAAAACGAACTACTAATTTAAATTTTCCTACGGTGCGTCTTAAGAAGCACCGTTGGAAAGGCCTTCTTTCGTTGATTACTTCAAAATGACAGCTTCCCAGAAAGATAATTTCACAGGAAGTTTAGTTCCCTTACTATCTTTCAACCAAGTTTGTTTTTCAACAATAATTACGCCAGTTACTTTTCGGATGGCTGCAAATGATGGACTATAGCTTTAAGTCCATCACAAGTCCAGTTGTAATTGATTTGTGAGTCCTTTCAGTTATGTCTAGTCTCAAGAAACAATGGATGAACAATAACAAAGGAATGCCCTTGTCAGAGTTGACATGAATAGCTTGTGATTTGAATTGGGATTAAAGGACTTGTGAGGGACTCCACTACCGGTACCGTACATCTCTGCTGTTGACTCTGGATTGATTCTTAAAATTGTCATCCTGAGGGTTTCACACTATAGTCTTCAGATTGAATTTTTTTTAACGAAAACAAAATTATCCCAATTGTTATGCAGTTAAATACCAATACAGGGTGAGTTAAAAAAGAAAAGAAACCCAAATGTCTGGACCATTTGGTTAATGAAGTTCTGCATGTAGCACTTTCAAAATCTAGGATATGAAAGCCCAATTAATACGCTTTCTTTTAGTACAAGAATCATTCAAATCACTCATGTAATTTTCAAGTTACGGAATTTTAAACACAACCACGGTTTCAAGTTCTGTCCACGGATCACAAAAAAATGTTAGTGTTCTTTCAGCAAAACAAAATCAATTCACATAGGCCTACGTCCCTATAGGTGAATGGGGCTTTCATATGATTTTGAAAGTGCTACCTGTATGCAGAACTTCATTAAAAAAAAACTGGTCATGCCATTTGGATTTGCTATATGTTTTTACTCGCCCTGTACACATTTTGTGTGACAGAGATCTTCAAAACCAGCATCATTATCGTGAGAACCTCGTCCATTCAGCACACTATTTTGGTGTTACCATTAGCACCCGGAAAAACACTTCAGTACATGTACGTCTGCTGTAATTATGTGTGAAAACACTTTTGTGAAGTGGCTACTATTGTTGAGTTTTGAGTAGCGCCACCTGACAATAATGTCGCATGAGCAAGGGGTCAGGAACATGAATAGTTTTCTTTTGAGGAAAAGGTTACAGAGTTTTAATATGCTTTGTTCGGGTTGCATATTAGGAAGAAGTGTCTGTGTGCTAAGGCATTAAGGTCCATTCTCACTGCATTTTAATGGCTGAACCAGGCAAAAAATACTTTGCAGATCACATCAAGGTTTAAATTGTACTTGCATACAAAATACCGTTCCCTTCTTGTAAGGTAGCGTTGCTACTGTGGGTAGGTATAAAGGTTGGAGTAAAACAGGTTGGTGAACAACACTCAGTTTTGTAATGATTAAAATCACGCGTCCGTGTTGAAATAAACCTACAAACCATCTCCATTGCTTTATAAAAACACTTTATATGGATACCCACAATAACAAAGCTACATTTCATGAAGGGAATGATATTTTTCGTTTCTCATGAACGACTTGTTCAGAGCTTTCTATAGAACTCTAAACATTTGCTACTTCATATAGTTTATACTTCTTTGAACATGAAAATTAATGAAACTGCTGCGAAACAGCTGCAAACTTGCTGACTGGATTGACCTGAAATGTATACAACCAACAAAAAAAAATGGCCCGATATTTCAGCCTTAGCAAAAATGGCCCGATGTATTGGTACATGCATGTGTAAAATTAGCAGAAATCAGGGCCATTACAAGCCATGAAATCGAGTCTGCACAATTTTTTTTTGGGGGGGGATGCTGTCACATGCAGCTGTGTTTGTATATAAAGCCAAGTTGCAGATGTTGTACGGCTTGTTCTTTTTAAGCGGGTAGGAGCAAAGACAATATTTAAAGGCACACGCTGTGATGACACTGCTTAATGATGAAACCCATAAACTGCCATATTTTCCTTCCCCCCCCCCACCCATGGCAGTTATTTTAATTGAGATAAAATTGTAATTACTTCAAAGTAATAAATATTAGCCATCAGAATTTGTTAAATTTATCTGGATGCCTTAACTTAAACTTGTTGGTGGGGTCAGCCAATGCTCATAAAATGCATATCTGGAAAAGGGGGGGGGGGGGGTTGCATATTCAATGGGGCATGGAGTTGAGGGGCAAAAGACATAATTTTGAAATAGGGGAGGGGAATGCCCCCTTGCCCCTCCCCCTTCCTCAGATTAAGAATCCGACATCTTTGTTTTAACAAAAATTATTTTAAAAAATATAAAAGAAGGAGATCCTATCTACATAGCTGCACGTGCCTGATATAAATACCGCCATGACTCTGTCAATATCTGTGCGCATGGCCGTCATCCCCGACAGTCTCAACGGCAAGTCGGGGGTATAAATTGCCCTCTCTCCAAGGGCTGCTGCACTCTGCCGATTTGCCACGACTATATTAACCACTCCTGTGCGGTGTACGGTTCATTGGAGTTGCGCTGAGGCGTCCATCATATAATAAGATTCCAAAGAGATTCTAACTTCTCGCTTCAGGGCTGTATCATTGCTTTAACAGACATCGCTAGCCAAACATTTATTTGCATTTTTTTTATTTCATGAATATCCCCCCCCCCTCGCGGATCAGGGAATGGATTTGATGTTGGCGATTGATAGCCGGGCCCTGAAGGGTATTTAAACTGTAGTGTGGTGCTTCCAAAAAAAAAAAAAAAATTGAGGTGGAAAATTAATTTAGGTTTCTTGGCATTGGTAACTGGTAAAAATCGGTTCACTCGAGAGTTTTATCACATTTTCAATTCTCGGCTGATGATGCCTGAAAGATGTTTTGATTAGATTTGTTGTTGGACACAGGAGGGTAGATTTTCTCTTTAAAAAAAACCCAACTATGTTGCTACTGGGCTACACTGTGTGTTGATATAATCTCAAAGGATATTTAAAAATACCTTTGAGTTTTGACTTGCAAAAATATTATGTTTATCTAAAGACTTTTCCGGGGTACTGTAGCTGGTTTAGTTATTAAAGGAATGAGAAGTGAAGCTTTAATCTGTGACTCTGGTATTGAATCATAACAGTTAGCAGTTTGTCGACCCTAATCCTCCTCAATCTTTCGTAATCCTCCAGGCAGTGTGGGAGGATTTTGGAAGATTGAGGCTGAATGGCAAAAAAGGTGTCGGTTGAGTTTGGAGGATGCACTGTGTCCAGGTCAAAGGCTGCACCCTGCATTGTTTATAAATGTTCAGCCATGCATAATTGAGCCCTGCATTAGGCTGGACATCATCCGCACTGCACTGCGTCTGAATGTCATCAGCACTGCCTCAACCCATTAACAGTGATTGTTGCTGGATTTTGAAGGATTGAGGCAATGGTGAAACCCCTCTCATGAACTAAGTTCAAGGACTAACAGATGATTATGGAGGATTAATTGAGACTGAATCCAATTTTTACATGGTGGCAATTGGAGGATTTTGCAGGATTGACGGTGGTTCGTAGCCAAAAGAGCCTAGGGGGTTAGGGTCCATATTGCTACTTGAGGATGATATCAGAAACATTGACAATTTTGTTTATTGGAAGTGCAACAAAGTAGCTTCAATTCAAAAGTTCATACCGGCACATTTGTACCTTTTACATTCAGGAACAATCTCGGATCTTTTTTTTGTTGTGTTAATTATGTAAAAATGAATGCACAAGAGATCTAATGATAATAATTGTGGCTATTTATAAAGTGCACGTACCCACCAGGACTGATGCTCACGGCGCTACATCATTATTACCCCTGCTCATTGGGCCCATGAAACATTCCAAATACCATCTCAGCTCCCTGGGGAGTGTACAGCTCGATGCAGCCTGTTAGGCGCAAGGAAGATAAATCAACCACAATAACCATCTCTGCCCTCACAGGTACCCATTTACTCCTGGGTAGAGAGAAGCAATGAGTGACAAAGTGCCTTGCCCAAGGGCACACGCACCATGACCCAGGCAGGACTCGAACCCACAATCTGCAAAATTACCCGCAGACCACAAATCTGATGCCCTTAACCACGAGGCCACAGCACTCCACCTACCGGTACATTATGTACATGTACCGATACGCATCCCGGCCTGGTGAACAAAACCACGTACATTGTACATGTACATGTACATGTACCTCAAAGATGACTGCATTATAAAGGAAATATGTACATGTACCAGTACATGTGGATAATGTACATGTACACAGTGTAAATCTAAATACATTTAACTCCACTGGCGCATTAGTACTCTCAGCCAAACTTCTTAATTTCCATCCGTGGGGGTGGGGGGAAGCTAATCAGCATGCAGGCAGGCAAGCAGAAAGGGACTTTCCATAGCTCACCCCCACCCCCTCGCCTCTTCATCAAACGGAAAAGAACAAACGCGAAACCAAAAACCAATTAGATATGATTACAGTTATTGCCAGCATGGCGTCTATGGGCGAACAATTTCTACCTCCCCCCCCCCCTCCTGTTTTCCCCTCCATCGAAACCCACGGTTCACCATTCACCGTTCTCCCCTGGCTCCTTTAAAAATATTCCCAGTTATTCTGATTGTCAATGCCTCGAGGAAATTTGTTTTTTTTCTGCATTCCTACAATATTCCTTCATTTGCAGCGCATGTAAATTGATGCAATCCAAAGAGAGTGTTGAACAAAACAAAAAAAGAGAGGCAATTTACGCTAATGTATCAAAAGCAATACGGCCGCTTTGTTTTTTGGTTTGTGAATTACATGCGCGTCCATGTACATGTACACTGCCCCCGGCTAGCGAAGGGAATTGAGTATTTCGGTCTCGGTCTAAGGATACAGAGTGCACGGCCGGCATTGAGCAGTCTACTGGGACGTCTTCAGATCTTAACGAGAGATAGGGGTAAAACGTGACCACCATCCGAATCTCGGTTTCTGGGTGTGGGTGGGATTTTTTTCCGGATGAGGTGATTTTTTTTTTTTTCTCATTTTTAATCCTGGCCGAGATTTTGCCAGAAGACGATTTTTTTTTTGCATTGGATATTGGGCCGCATGGATTAAGGGTCACGGCGCAGTTAATTACATGCATGTGTAGCACAGTTTTTTTTGGGGGGGGGGGGTTGGGTCTTTTTTTCAGTAACTATAAAGTCGTGCTTTAAACTACGTGAGCGAAATTCGTCATGTTTTGGTATTTATTTGCTTTAAAGAAAGTTTAGATTAGTTTGGCTAAAATGGAAAATTACAGCATATAGGAACACAAGAAATATTCATGTACTAAAAAAGTGGCTGGAAGTTGGAACAAAATCCCCATTGTCTCTCAAATTTAATTTACAATTTCATTATTTACATACTGGAACCTATTCACCATATTCTGTTCATATAGCGATGTGCTACTGTGCATGTAGGCCTACACATACAATGTAACTTTAAGTACAAAAAAAAATACATTACAAAAAAGCATGTTCACATCATCAACATAGCTTTCAAAAGTCCTAAAAATAGAAGGCATCCGCATACAAACGTACATTGTGAACCAAAGGTGTTCATGATGTAGCCAGGTACAAAAATAAAAAAGCTACAACTTGTACATTAAAAAAAATACATTACAAAAAAAGCATATGCTGTATCACGAACTGTTAGGTTGTAAAAGTACCTAAAAATAATTACATGTATGAATTACATGTACCAGTAGAAAGCATCCACATACAAATCCACATTGTATACCAAAGGTGTTCATGATGCAGCCAGGCAGAAAAATAAAAAAAAATACAACCATGGAAAAATGGGAGGGGCTTGTCATGGTTGTTTACGAGGGATCACACACTCAGGGTTAGACCAAAAGAAAGTGGCCTGGATTAGGCCAAAAAAAAAAATATTCGGTCTCTGGTCAGACCAAAGTTACGGAATTGACGCGGCCACGCGGCTTTTTAATTTTTTTTTTTTTTTTTTTTTTCTTTTAGCTCGGATTGTACAGACAAGGTGGGTACTATTTTGCTTTTTTGGTGTCCTCATGTACATTGGTGTCCTCCATAATTTGCCTTGGTGCTTTCGATCATTTGCCTTGGTGCAATTTCCCATTCCTTGGTGCTCTAAGTGGTAAAAAAAAATTGAGGAGGTGCGGAATAGAGAAATAGATGTTGGAGCTACCGCGGAACATTTTTGAAAAAAAAAAGATTGACGCGCATGATTAAAATCGACGCGCGCGCTGACCAGAGACCGACTTATTTTTTTTTTTGGCCTTAATGATGGTTTTTTTTTGTGTGTAAAAGGCAATCAGATTGGATACACCGATGAAGTGCGGTACGGTACCTGTATGTCTTAATTTGAGCATTCTTCCACACATCTGAAAAAAAAAAGAATTAAGAACTGCAATTGATCCTTGCTATCAGAAGTAAATGCAAGTTTTACTCAAAAGAACCTATTTTTATAGGTGTCGATGGAATGCCATTGGAAGCTGTTCAGCTGAGTGAGAATTACAGATTACACACAGGCATTCAAATACATAAAAAAATTTAATCATTTGAGTCAAGACTGAAACGTTACATGTATAGTTTACTGTCACTAGTGTCAGATTTTGTGTTTTGAATATGAGGAGCAAGTCAACTTTTTTTTTTCCCCTGAAATATTGATAGCCATTTTGGTCTGTTTTCCTTTGCAAGCTTTCGTTTATTCATGGTGGGGGGGGGGGGGGGTGTTTCATTGTATTTAATGGGTATTCATCGTTTCGTAGAACGATAAATGATCAGTAGTGGACAGCTGAATTGTGTCATCTTTTTATTAAATTACATGTAGAAACACATGTTACCTGGGAAAAGAGTGCAAGTTACGTAAAATGTTCACTTTTTTCTTAGTCAGTAACATTATGGTGCGTGCCACATATTTACATGTAAAAAAAAAGGATTCTAGTTCGGTCATTTTGTTCCTGACTCGCCCTATATTCATATTACATACATGTACATGTACATTGTACAGGTCTGCATACATGTGTATGCTATGATTGTCCTCGGTAATAAAAATTGAATGATACAGTATGGATGGTATATGTACATGTACCGGTACATGTGCACATCATGGACATTTAGCACTGGGTTATTTATTACTACATATACTGTAAATATTTTGAACAGACGTTGATTGGATGCAGGTTCGTTACACATGAGTGTTATCGTGGTAACAAGTGATTGGCAATTTGTAATATCATTGAGGATTACTTTTACGTTCGTGACTCGGATGCATCCCGTCAAAGTGGTGATCATTATTTTTGTCTTTTTTTTTTTTTTGTGGTCCCTAATGATGTGTTGCATGAGCATAAAAATCATACATGGCTAATGTTGCATGACAGTAGAGCTTTATTATGGCCATAAAATATGTCTCCTGGCTGATAAACGTGCGTATAAATCATGTACATGCAATGCGTGCACTGTCCAGGGCCATATTAAGATGATTTCTAAGGGTTTTGATGTTTACAAATGCAGTAGTCCTCACGTAACAAATTCACAAGGCCACCCTAGAGGAGAGCACCAGATTGGAATGACCTTTGTCTTATTAAGAACAACCCATCCTCGGTATTTTTACAAGGCAGGCCTGCACTGATTGGTTGCCGAGTGGTGAATACCAGCTAAAGGTCCTTTGCAGTGTCAACATGCGTGCCCGCAATCAAGCCAGTCATTTACCGGACTAAGTAAACAGTACACTCGACCCAAAAATATTTTGCCTCGTCCCGTTTCCGCAGACGTAAAACCTGTGAAGAGGATCGTGCACGGAACAACTGGCCCGTCGTCGCACTCTGGTTTTATGAATTTGAGTGAATATGGAGCATCCAGTAAGGGGAGCTGTGAGCTTTCTGCTGGATTTAATGCCTTAATGTGATACCTGTCACTGGTTGTTAGAGATGAAATTAATTTTGGCTGTTGCGGCTCCAGTTGATTGCAAGGATTCCCTTTACAAGGAGGAGGGGGGGGGGGGATATGTAGCTCAGGGTGTTAAGTTAGCATTTGCTACACAGGTTTTGATGCATGACTGCAGATCGCCACGAAGGTTACTCGTCTGCAACTTGTTTGTGAGGACAGTGGAAAAGAGGCAGGGAATGAAAATAAAGCAAGATTGCCTCGGTACTCAGTTTAATGATCACAATCATAAATCCCTGCGTTGCTCGTCAGAGATAAATCTTTTTAGTTCTAATTACGGCAATATATCTAATATGATGAAGCTGAACTGTGTAGCACTGTACTTTAAGTAGTATGTAGGCCTATAGGATGCAAATAAGTTAAAGCAGTGCTCACCAGGAATATTCCTGGTGAGCACTGCTTTAACTTGTTTTCATCTACATGTACATGTATGTATGTGTCCCAATCAAAAATTTGTTAGGTATTTTGAGAGTTGTACATGTGCATGTACCGGTATGTATGATCTGTTACATGGTACCCTCTGGAGACATGTGCACAATAGGGAACACAAGATTGAATACGTCTCCGCAGGGCAATTTCTAGGTAAATACCGGTACGTCTCCACAAGGTTATCACGAAATCGATATGTGGATTTTACTCAAAAACTAGGAATTTCCAAGGTGGGTTGATCTGTCACAAATTGAAGTATTTTATGTAAGGGATAGGCCTATTAAATCTGAATTTCAGCCTGGGAAATTAATTCTGGTTAAAATTGGAGCATTTTGAAACTTCACTTTCAAACTCGGAAACTTTTACACGAGAACAAAGAAATGACTCCACAAGGATACAAATTTCAGTATATAAGCTTTCATTTGAAATCATTTTGAAAGAAGATTTGTTTGGACAAACAGTTGGAAATTGCCTGACTATAACTTTACCCTCTGTGTATGTATTCTCACCACAATAGTATGCTCGACATAATGACAATAATGAACTCAAGATAAATGAAAGTACCCAAATACACTTTACACTGGCACTTTAAATGAGCCTCAATTAAAGTCTGATACCTGTTCATGCAGTTATTATGAGCTAAAGATCAGGCGTGATTAATCATTAAGGACACCTGCCCTGGTGAAAATGTGAGAAGTCAGCAGGAGTTTCATCAAGAAGGATTTCCTTGAAGAAGTAATTGGTGTTGGCAATTTGATTCCTGGAACCTTCAAATGGTTCCATCTTGTTGTCTTCATCAAATAATACTGTAAGATTAGTGAATGATAGGATAGAGGTCTACATGTAATAGGCTCCATGTATTTCCTCTAACAAGGGTTTAGTTTTATATTGTTTAGTTCTTTTTTCCCCCTTCTTTTGAAAATGAAATCTTTCTCTTCAAGGATTTTTGGGGAAGAAGTATAATTACTGGGTTTTTGTTGAGGTTCTTTGTTTTGGTGGACAGTGTCAAGTTTCTGAAAGTATTGTTGGCTAATTTCACATAGTGGAGTCTAAAATGAGTGTCAAAAAAGTGTTGTAATTAAGATTAGTAAGGGTCTGAGATGGCAACGCATCAGAGCAAAGGAGATGGATAATATATTTGGGGAAAATGTGCTGCCAAACAAGCAAAGCAAACATTTTGGGCATTTTTATGCAGATATTGTAACAAAAAAAAATAAAGTCACTGTGCATGTACGCCTACATTTTGGTCAGGAGTTTTATGGGGGGAAAATACAGTGACAAAAATATGGTACTGTTAAAAAAAAATTACAAGAAGTGACAAAATCATGCGAGAATTAAATGATTGAAGTCCAAAGTCATATTTTGATGTGTCACAAGAAGGAAAAAGGCCCACTCTCAAAATGTTAAATTATTATAATCACATACTCCATTCGAACAGTAAAGAAATACCTACCGAATTGATTATAGCTAAAGTGCTTGCGATTATTGTAACTTTTTTTTTTACACAAAACTCAGTATACAGAGCTGCATAATCAGCTGAAAATTTCTAATCAAGTCTTTCTGTTGCACCACTTTGACAGGGTATCGGACAAAGGGCGTCACAACGTCACAAGTTCCGTCGGCGAGAAGGGAGATGGCCCCACCGTCAGGGGTCACTCGGAGGCGTTGGAGAATTCCTCGCCGAGGCGCAGCCGATCGCGTCAGTCGCACAACCAAGATGAGGAGAGAATGGAACGCCAGGTGAGTACGAGAGAGGACTGATTAGTCCTCATCAAATATGCATGACACTTTGACACGTAGATCATCTATCCGTCTCCACTTTGTCTTGAAAGGGAATGTACAACATTTGCTTTTGCTGCAATTTTCAGAAATAAGAGGATTAGTATGTTATAGCAAATATTGTTAAACTGACTTGTTTCAGGTTTTGGGCTTGTAGATGCTGGAAAAACCAAGAAAAAACAATTGTGTTCTTGTAGTCTGGTTCCCTGACCCTACGTAAGATGAAACGGAGAAATGTAAAGACTTTGGGGAATTGTAAGGTCAAAGAATTATTCTAGCAGGCTTGGACGAAAACTTCCAGAGAACAAAAGAGAACAATATCGTCCATGATTCCCAGCATATGTCCGCGATTGGGGTCGTGTACAAAACATATGGGAGTCTTCCTAAAAAGTTAGAGTACATGTACAAACAAAAGAGAGACAATAGGACGTCCACGATCGATGGGTGAACACGTTTATGTGTACCGGTACATGCATGCAGTAAAAACCCCTGTGAGAGGCTTCCTATAGTAGCCTAATTTTTTTCATTTTCTTTTTAGTTTGACATGTAGAACTCGATTACATCGTGAATCTCATATTCAAAGCTCTGACCCCAACTCAGTACTCCTGTGTGGATTACTAGCCTGATATTTATCTGACGTCCGTCTATTCTCCATTACTTTAATTTGTTTATCATCCAATGAGAGCTTTCCAAGTCACTCATTGTCATCCCGTTAAGTGATGTGCCACTTTCCATTTATGAGGTCACCAATCCTTTTTACCTCTCAAAAGTTCTCTTCTTTCATTTTCTCTTTTCCTCCCGGCTTGTCAAAATTACCTAATCACGTTATTGGATGTGCACTGTAACTGGACCACTATAGGTCTGTCAATGTACTAGGAGTGTGCTCAAAGTACCTGTTAAGGTTTTTTTTGTGAAGTTTTCCCAAGCATAAAATTGAGTGATGAACTGAGTGTGTTTCGGGGGAGTCTGTTGCAAGTTGAACATGTGCAATCATCGGCCGTGCTGTCTTGTACGTCACAAGATATGAATTGATGCAGGCTTTAAATGGTGTAACAATCAATACTTTTTTTTTTATAATTATTCTGTGCCGCCCTCCTGTCCGCTGGCAAGAACAAAGCCCGGGGAATGCAGCCCATCGATTCTTGACGTCAAGCCTGTGTAGTGGTTCACATGGACCCTTTTTTTTTTGCAAGTTATAATCCGCCAGAAGGCAGGAGGCCTTGAAAGAGCGGATTATTTCCAGGCCCATGGATCTATTGTTGGGTCTCAGCAATGAACAACAGAAGCATGCAGTGCATTATGGTGTTAGTAACTAGTTAAGAGACTCTAATGTGCCCACAAGTGCGACCTGAACCCGACAAATATATTACAGTTTTGGAAATGACTGCTTACTGATGCATCTCTGAAAACAGTTGACCAACAGTAGCTAAGTAAGTACGAGTATGACAAACAGAAATTGCATTTTGAAGGCTTCATTTTTTTTGGGGGGGGGAGTAATGAATAGCTGTGAAATGGTCACTGTTGCCACTATAGGGAAGAGGTGCTGCCCCATCGATACAAAAAATCGTTGGACCCCCTGGGAACCAGTCCAGATGGTCCCAGACGCATCACGCATAGGAAACAGCATTCAAGGACGGGACACCAACTGGATCACCCTATAATGCCCACGCATAATCTGGTGTGCACCAGCTGCCCCGATAGGTGAAGTGCACCGGTGAACGAATTGGTGTTCTGTGTACCAGTACCTCATTCAGGTTAAAACCGCTACCTCATTCAGGTTAAGACCGCCAATCGTTATCCCCTAGAACTCTGCAACAGTTAAATGCAAATGAGTTCCACTGTGCCCCTTTTATGTGTGCCCATAAAATGTCTGGATGTGTTGATCACCCAGGTATTCCCAAGTGATTTGTTGTAACTTTATACCTTAACCTATGTACTAGCAAAGATTAACACTTGATATGGTGTATCATCTCTTGCCTGATACAAGGTTGTTCAGAGATTACGATATTGTTGGCTTTATCTGGTTAGTTTGCACACCGACTGGAGTTACTGGTATTTTATAACATCATTATCAAACCAGCGCTGAAGTTTCTCTTTAACCACTTCCGCTGCAGGAATAGACTTGTACACCGTTTTATCTTTCAAAGTTCTCGTTTTGTGCCAGAGTATAAAACGTTGAAACTGTTGGGTTCTGACTTGTTGAAACTACACAGCCAGTTAAGGCAATCTGTTACGGTACCAATTATAAATTTATTATCTTGATGTTTTTCTTATTCGTTTTACAATACCACATTCTGCAAAGTGTGTTTTCTTTCATATTTTTCTGGAAAGGAAAGAGCAAGTACACATACTTATGTATGACATTGAAGTTGATCTTAAGTTTAAAATTGTGTAACAAAATCAGACACAATCACATTCTTTTTCTTCCAAAATACATGTTGATCTATAAAATACCCGGTAAATCCTTCATCCATCTATGAATAACATTATTGGATTCCGTAGATAATGTAGAGTAGATAATGCAGCAAATTTCGGGGTTTTTTAAAATAAAATTTCATTTACCTTAAGCAAAAAGTGTGAATCTAAGTTAAGGCAAAAAAAAGTAGAACGGTCTGTGGTCAGTGCGCGCGTTGATATTGATCATGTGCGTCAATTTGTTTTTTCATCACTTGCGATAGCTATAACAGCGCCCTCTATTGCCGCACCGCCTCAAATTTTCGTACCAAGGAGCACCAAGGAATGGGGAAGGGCACAAAGGCAAGTGATGGAGGACACCAAGGCAAATGATGGAGGACACTAAGGTGTATAAGGACACAAAAAAGTAAAATAGTACCAACCTTGTCTATCTTATTCAGAGTGAGTTTAGCGTTTTTGTCTTGTAGCATAATTTTCTGTGTTTAGAGGTACGATACCGTCAAAAGTCAGACATTAAAAAAAAGTCTTCATTCAAATCTTTGAGCCATCATAGTTCAGACAACATTGATATTTATTGGTCTCGTATCTCTGTCACTACTCGCTAGGGGACCCTGACAGCCGCTGATTTTGGATCAACATGCCTGCCTCATTCTTCAAAGCTTGAAACCCTCATTAATCAGTCTGCATGAGGAAAATAATAATACTTTGGGGAAATTGAAAATAATAACCCATTCCAAACTCTGAAATACAGTAGAGTGGATTTTCACAATAAATTTAAAGGAAAGAAAATTCAAAGACCGTTTATAGACTCTTTTTCCGCCGTTAATATGACAAAGCTTGCATACAAATGTACATGTAAAATTATATTGTGCACATGTGTAAAATTAAATTGGTTTTTTTTTCCTCTTAATTTAAAATTTATTTAAGAAAAATACAACTTATTTGGACATTTATTCAGGACATTTTAAATTTCTTCAGATGGTTATATTTTGTACAAATCAATTTTAAAAAGTGGTTACTGACCAGTACATGTACGTGTAGATGAAAATTCTGAGTATATATATATTTTTTTCAAAAATTATTAAAAATAATTACAAATTATTTTTGCCAAATGGATTCATCAAAAAATGAAAGTTTTACAAAGCCTACCCCCCTCCCCACCAAAAAAATGTGGGCTTTCATACATATGTGGATTGTCCTGTTATTTAATAATCCTGACAGTTTCAGGGTGGAATATCTAATTAAAATAAGTCAAGTGAGCACTCTGATTGAAGAGAAAGAAGTGTTTCCACCGTAAACTGGCCCCTGCACTCGCACACACACACTCTCTCCATCTCTCAGTGGTCCAAACTATTACAGCGATGTCATTTAATTTGGTTGATCCAAGTAAAGCCGTCGGCTACATCCTGGCATCCACTGATGAGGAGATGCAGCCGAGGGGAGCAAAAAAAAGAAAGACAAGTATGAGGTTGAACACAAGGAATTCATAATAAAGGGGGGGGGGGGGGGAGAGGGAAAAAAATAAGATGCCGATGTCGTGTCAGGAAATGATGACGCTGGGCAATCGGGTAACCCAGTAGGGGTTGGCTGTATCAAAAGGAATGTTTAAAGTTGTCTCATCAAGTGGGAATATCAATATATCTAGAAAGATGTGGGGCCCCGAACGCTGGATAGAAGAAAAAAAAGATCGGGACTGAAACGAGGAAGAAAAGACCAGGGATAACTAAAGATGGCTGACCAAGGGTAGGCCCCCGGAGGTGGTGCGATGAGAGAATTAAGTAGTGTGGGATGTGCAAGGAGATCTGACTGTAGTAGAAGGTGCCACAGGGGACTGGCCACTCAGCCACTACCCAACACTGCACCATTTTCTGTTATCAATTTTGTTTGGGGTGGATAACTGTTATATTTTGCTGTGTTGGCTGATATTATCTTTGTGCAATTATTTCATTTTTCAGGGGGTGGGGGTGTTGGAGGAGCTAGGATGGGTGCTTTCTGTAGCATGTACAATGTATTTTATGTAATGACAGGAATGTTTTATGTGAATTTTACATTCTTCCCAGGGAAACAAAATTGACATGTAGTGCTAGAAAAAAAAGTGCAGTACTGCACAAACGTGAGTGTTAGATTTCATTTGACTTCATTAAGGACCTCAAAACACTGATGAATGTTCATTTTTCTGAGATTGTTTAAATGACTTCCACACATGTGTGTAAAAAAACCAAAAAATATCAGTTCAAACAAGAGTTAGAAAATTAGGATATTGAAAAACATACATGTGCTGCATGAATTTTAAATTCTCAATATTTCAAGGAAGCTATCCGTGGCATCCATGTAGGTTTTTCCCAGGTTCAGCAGATGAAATGTTGGGCTGCGGTAACAGGTTTTGCGAATAATCCTGCAACAATGAAACCCCATTGTCATGTAAATTTCCAGGGAGCAGACACGAGTTGTTAATTCTCTCGGTTCAGATTTACAACTTGTTTCAAACGTGTCATTTTGTCTTTTGTCCCCCATTTCCGCCAGGTGCCTGCAAACGGCCTTGTACG